CCTCGCCGGAAGTCCCCTCACATTTCCTTTTTCTGGCTATTTCTCTCTTCTTCAACTGTTGCTGAACTGCTCTCAACATTTCATGGCACATGCAGGCCACTGAGCATGCTCAGTTCTCATTGACCTGTTGCCACCCTCCCCTCTTTTCATTTTAAAAATTCAAAGTCAACATTTTTCTACATACGTGAGGAGACCTCTTCTACAGATGCCCCTCTTTTTTATTCCCATCAAGTAGAAGGAACAATGACATACAACTAGAGTACTAAGTGTCTAAAATGCTCTACAAACTTTGTGTGTTGCCTTCACAACAATCCTGTGTGGTGAATCAGTTTTATTTCCATTTTAGAAATGGCAAAGTAACACTACAAGATTGTAACTTGCACCTAAGGCTGCAGCAGAGGTGGAAGTCTTCAAGATTTTAAGGTGCTGCTTAGATGCCTTCCAAGTATTTAGAGCAGTGCTTGAGCCAAATTGCCACCTGCTCTCTAGGATGTGAATTATCCAGCTTCCTATGAAATGACACAACAATCTAGCTTGCAGCTATGACAGCTTTATTTTCTTGAAGGAGGTTTGGCCTGCATAGATTGAATGAAAAATTGTCAAAAGTCAGAAAAGGGATTTTCTTATGCAAGGGGGGGGCATTTATTGAGCTCATAAGATGGTAGTTTACAGTGGTACCTCGGGTTACATACACTTCAGGTTACATACACTTCAGGTTACAGACTCCGCTAACCTAGAAATAGTACCTTGGGTGAAGAACTTTGCTTCAGGATGAGAACAGAAATCGTGCTCCGGCGGCGCGGCAGCAGCGGGAGGCCCCATTAGCTAAAGTGGTGCTTCAGGTTAAGAACAGTTTTAGGTTAAGAACAGACCTCCAGAATGAATTAAGTACTTAGCCCGAGGTAACACTGTATTAAAAGTGCAGTTGCTGAACCATTCCGCTCCACTTCTTCTTCTGCCATCATATATTATATACCACTGGCTCCACCCCTGAGATTACACAACTTTCCTCACTGCTTGCCATCCACATATTAAACTTGGATGCTTGCAGGGAGAAAGCCTATGCATGTAGACCTTTCAGGAATAGAACACTTGATTTATCTGGGTCCCAGGTCCAGGGGAAGCCTACATTCCTTGGCTTTCCCTCTGCTGGTGTCCATGCCTAATATGTGAGCAGTGGTGTCAAAGGAAGCCATGTAACCATGGGGACCTATTGCACCTTGGTCACAGAGACGTCTCTTCACATGTGTAACAAGTGAAAGGGACTATCAAATGAGAGAGCACAGTGACACTCAGCACATTTTGCTGGTGATTGTCAGTCAACACTGACCAGAACAAAAGTGAGGATTAAAAATAGCAATGGGCAGTTTGGGGAGTGTGCCTGGGAGAACAATTGTCCAGAAAGATCTGAATCAGTAGGGATTTCTTACAGTGTTTGTCAACATTTTAGGGACCCATTCTTGGTGTCATATACAATGTGATAAACAAGTGAATAGACTGATTTACAGTTCCTAAGCTTCCATTTTGTGGTTATGTGAGAACACATGAAGTGGTCTGCCTTGCTCGCCCCCATTTGAAGATCAGCCGCTGACTCGTTGAGTTAGGCTTCTGTGCAGCTTTGCATTTAATGTGAATGTTAAAGAGTGAGAGTTGGGGTGTGTGTGTTTAAGTGGCTAAGAAACACATTTTGGACGTTGTTTTACACAGCTGAATGCTGATAACTCTATTGGCAATTGTGAGTGATTACTGCATTATCTGCACTCAGAGAAAGTTATTGTTTTGAATGCAGAGAGAATTAATGATACATAAAACTATGTTATTATTGGCTGCATTCATCAGCAGAAATGCTCTGCCCAGCACCACTGCACTGTGATTACTCCTGCTTTCTCCTTCCAAAGAGAGCAAGAGATAGGGGCGGAGATGGTTTATTGCTGAAGATTTGCATACATTTACATTCCAAAAGGCTGATCGGGTGCAAGAGCTGATTATGTTGCAAGTCAAGACATACTTACTTATCTCTCCCTTCTGAACCTTTAAACCAGGGAGAATTTGACTACTTCCCTTTGGGCTGGGCAAGATAAAGCATGAGTGAAAAGGAGAACCTAATTTAAAGGCTTTAATTGTGAAGCAGACAAAGATGCAGAAAGCAGATTTTTTTCAGGATGAGATGGCTATTATGATATGATTCCTAGAATGCTGGTGGAATCTACGCAAGAGTGGCTTGCTTTTGCCATCTCTGGAATGCATTCTGAGTAGATTTTCAACAGTGATGCATAATTTCTATGAGAAGAAGA